TTTTTAAATGTGTGATTGAAAATGATTATAAAAATTAAAGAGTTTTTTTTTAAAAAAAGAGGCAAATATTAATTTAAAAATTTTAATATAAATAATATTACACTTGAGCAAATTTTTTAAGATCCAATTTAAAAAATTAGATCTAAAATTTGTTATACAAAAATCAAATGTTTATTCAAAATTTTAATATAAATAATTATATTACAAAATTAAATTAATATACATATACAACCACACAATCCAACCAACAATAAAAAAATCTAATCATTTTTCTATTCTCTTTTCTCTCTCTATCTCTACATTCTCTCCCTCTCTCTAACGTCTTCCTTTTCTCTACCAGAAACTTTCGCATGAGACCAATAGGACATCATTGCTACGATACGCATCGTCGCTACAATGACGCTTCGCCACTGTACATTGCGACATTGTCGCTGCATCTACGGCTGATGTGCAATGTACACAATAACAAGTGATGGGGGATCTAGGAAACACTTGGTTGCAATCTAGGGATTTGAGAAAATTTGGCTGCTGTAGTGGCAAACGCTGGAGTTTTGTTGGTTTAGTGAGTTTTGTTGGTCTTGATCTAGGGAAATTTGGTCACGATAGTGTCGAAAAATTTGGGTGGTTGAGTTTTGTTGGTTGTGTGCAGTTGGTGGTGGTTGGCAATGTTCGTGAGGTGTTGGTGGTTAAGGTTATTTTATGGGGTGGTTTTTGTTGGTTGTGCACAGGTGGTGGTAGTGGTGGTGCAGGCTGTGGTGGTGTTGTCAGTGCTCTAAGGTGGTGATGATGTTGGCGGTGCAAGTTGTTTTTTAGGGTGGATTTTGTTGGTTATGTTAGTCGTTGGTGGCGGTGGTGTCAACGATCGTGCAGTGGTTGTGGTGGTTGGGAGTGGGGTAGGGTAGGTTAGGTTAGGTTAGGGATGGAAAGAAAAGTGTTCGTAGCCAATTATCTGTTGATTATGACCAATAAAATAGATAATTTGTCATCAGTAAATAATGTAACCTAAAAAATGCGAGGTTGCAACTAAATTTGTAATCGTAACTTACAATTTGTTAAGTTGTGACCAATTAATTTAATAATTTATGATCGAGAAAAAATATTTTTAACCGTGAAATAAATTGTGATTTATAAAATTAGTGTTTTGTTAACGAAAATTAATATGTGACTTATTAATTTGATAATTTGTGATCGATGAATAAATTGTGACAGATCAAATTTTTGATCTGTGAGTAGAGATGGCAGTGGGGCGGGGCACCCCCCTTAGATGATGCGGGGCAAGGGCATGCCCCGTTTCCCGCCCTCCCCCCTTTTTTTTTCAAAAATTTCTAGTTAAAATATAAATTCAAAATTTTAAAATCCGAAGAAAATAATGCTCAAACTAATTACATTAATATCCAAAGCAAGTACTTGAAACAAACAATGTCCAAAACAATTTTATTTTTTTAATTTTTCATTGGCGGGGCGAGTTTTTTTGCCATCACTATCTGTGAGCGTAAAATAATTCGTGACCTATAAAATTTTTGATTTGTGATCGAGAAAATATTTGTGTTTAATGAATTCAATAATTTGTCACCAAATTGTATATAATTGTGATTTTAATATATTTAATTAATAGAATATATTTTACTTAATTACTTCATACATAAAATTTAACAATATCTGATTTTCGAAATTTTAAAACGTGTTTCTCAATTTTGAAATGGGTTATAGTTAACTTCTTAGATATGAAACTTTCCCTACGATTAATATTTTTGCCTGGTCAATTACATGAAAGTCCATTATATGAAATGATAGTCCACACCTTTTGTTTTATTTTTCCTTTTGGGTTTAAGCCCAAGTAGTTAAAATCTTATTTTATTTTAATTAAATAATAGAGATAATGTTTTGATTTTATCTCTTTTATTTAAATTGAAATTTTAAATCATTGAGATAAAATCAAATTTCAATTGAGATAATATCTTGATTTTAGCTATATCTTATTTAATGTTAAAAGATAATTGAGATAATATTTCAATTTTATCTCTTTTAATTAAAATTGAAATTTTAAATTATTAAGATAATATTTTATTTTATCTCTACTTTATTTAATTTTAGAAATTATGGAACTAATTTTTTTTAATTTTAAATTCATTATCTTATCCCATTAACAAAAATATAGCTGAGATAATGATAAGATTTTATCACTTTTAAAATTCAAAGTTCAATTGAATTTGAACTCCCAAAGCACGATGGTTCCTATAAATGGGTATCATATATTCCCATTTCAAATACATTAATTTCTCTACAAAATACACACAAACACAAATATAATATATTCATTAGTACGTGGGTCAAGGGTTGAAGTCACAAATATTTTTCAATATTTTTCTTATCATTTTCACAAGATATAAGTATTTTTATATGATTATATGTGGACGTCAGATTTTTGGAACATTGCTTATAAGGTCCTTTATGTATGTTCTATGTTTGGACCGGATTATAGTACGCGTGAAAATTTAATGTCCGTGGCATAAGATGGATAACGAAGCGGCAAGTGAAAAATGACCTACCTGGCTCACTTTTATTTATTTTTGAACTTATTTAATTATTGGTTTATATTTAGATTGCTAAAACTTCTAGTATTTTATTTTATTTTGATGTCAAAATTTTAAGTTATGCATTTATTCTTATAATTTCATAATATTATTAAATTAATTTCAAGTTTTCAATAGGGTGTTCAAGACAAGATTTTATTGGCACTAGAATTCAAGTCATCACATTCGGTATCAGAGCCCGAATTTTAATCGGTTCCGTAGACTTTGCAAAATATTTTTTTTAAGTTAATACTATCTTTTCGAAAAAAATTACGTCACTTGAATACTAACCCATTTTTTTAAAAAAAAATATTAATTCTTTTAATATGTATTTTTGTTTTGGGGGGGGGCTTAAGTAGATTAGGTTAATATTTAATGGCCCGAATTTATACAAGTAAAGGTCTTATATAAGAATCAATAGGTGGGAAAAAAATAATGATATTTACGAAATAAGTTATTATTCTTGAAATAAGAATTAAATGGTTTTAAGTCACCGTCTCGCTAAGTCATTCTTCATGTCATGATTCCTTGAATCAAGTATATTCTAATTATTTTTTTGATCATTTGTATTTGTCATTTTAAATGTCATGTTATTTATGAAACCTTCTTATTATGTAAAGCATGAATTTTCTCACTGCATATAATGCAATTTATGGATGCATGTTAAGTATGAAAATTTATATGGAAATAGCATTAAAATGATTATAATTTCAAGAAAGCTTTTTAAGTAGGATGTGATGATTAAGAATTACCCAATTGAGAAGATTTATATTTTCAAATATTTTCATTTCTACATATTGTTTGAGTTTTTTTGAATTTGTGTTCGCAAAATTGAAAAAATTTGCTAAAAACACCTAAACTGTCTAAGGCGGGCTCGGGATTTAAGCGGTCCATTATAACCCCCCTCCCTTCCTCCCACCCAACACGGAAGTCTTTTAATAGTGCGTTATACAAATCAATAAAACGAAAGCAATATTACAAACAATACATTCACTCTAAATTTAAGAATGTAAAATCTTATTTTGGGGAACTTATACAGTTAGAAACTTCTAATTTGGGAAATTTTCAGATTAAGAGCCTGTTTGGTAGGGATTTTTGGGGGAAGAATTAATTTTGAATAGTGATATGATGGGAAATGTGTGGTTGAAAAAGAAGAAAAAAGTATTAATGTGATGGAAAATATTATTTTATTGAAGAATGTGTGGTTGAAAATGAGAATTGATTTGAGAATTGATTTGAGAATCAGAAACAAACAGGGCCTAAATATATATTAATTCTTCAAAAAAATTTAAAAAATAAATTCTTCCTCTCTTGGTTAGTTATCTTTAGACTTTCAATGTGGTTGAAAAAGAAGAAAAAAGTATTAATGTGATGGAAAATATTATTTTATTGAAGAATGTGTGGTTGAAAATGAGAATTGATTTGAGAATTGATTTGAGAATCAGAAACAAACAGGGCCTAAGAAAGTTTTGAATTCCCTTAATTATGTTTTGTTTCAAAAATATGGCATCCCGAGTTCGAAGAATAAATAATAGAAATAAACAACCCCAACAACCTCAACCTATTGCGATCGACCACAGTTTTCCCAACAATTTCTGACCATGAAGCAAACTCTCACTCAAGATATGGTGCCGAGCTACCACTTCCTCGACGACCAACACCATTACCTGTGCCACGACAACCCGAACTGCCTCAGGTTGTGGTAGTAGACACTAGAACCATTATGCGGTTGTGGAGCAGTTCAGAAAACAACATCCCTCGACTTTCAGTGGCAGCACAAACCCCTTGGAAGCAAAGGACTTGCTGGTAGGTAAGGAGAGGATCTTTGAACTCATTGACTGCTCAAGTCCTAAAAGGGTTATCTGCGCAACATTTATGCCGTAAAAAGGTGCGAGACGCTGGTGGAACTCTATTGGAAGGTCAAGGGTTTGCGGTCATGTCTAGATGTAGAACGAGTTCAAAGAATTTTTTTTAAGAAGTACTATCCCATAGGTGTCTAAAATCGGAAGGAAACAAAGTTTCTCACATTGGCACAATGCTCAATGTCATTGATCGAATATGAGCACAAGCTTGAAAACTTGTCTCATTATGTTCCTACTTTTGTGGACGCTGATGAGAAGAAGGCAAGACGTTTCGAAAAGGGTTTTAAGGGCTGATTTGAGATAGGCTGTGGTAGTTCTTGAACTGGGAACTTACAAATGAGGTTTATCGAAAGCACAATTGATATATTTCAAACTGGGTACTAATGGAGAAAATAAACAGTAGTATGGGCAGTTGAGAAACGAAAGTAGGTAGATAATAAGGGCAAATGAAATCAAAGCTTCTCAAAGAAAGGTAAAGGAAATCCGTCTCAAGATGGCAATAGGAGCTTTTCGCTTTGTGGCAAGTGCTAGAAGTACCATCTGAGAGCTTGTCTTCCGGGAACAATGTATATTTTCGGTGTGGAGAACGAGGACACGTCGTCATGTTTTGCCATAAGAACAAACAACTTGGGAACAAATAGTAGGAACCTAAGAATGTCTAAAATAAACAGGAGAATAAACAACAGAGACAGGCAATGCACAGCAGAGACTGGAATATGAAACCAATGGGCAAGTAAGGATCTTTGCACTTACAGAGGATGAGGATGATCAAAATCGAAATGTGTTCGCAGGAAACGTCCTCATATCTGACTAACTAGCCTATGTATTGATAGATTTTGGAGCAACTTATTCCTTTATATCCCTTGAGTTCGTACATAAACTGGGCATAATGGGTGGATGTAGCGCCCCGAATTCCGTTAACCCGGATTGCCACGTCATCGTCTTCTGTAACTAATTAAACTAAAAAGTTTTGTGGAAAATAACTAAATTT